CAGCAATGTAACGGAACATGAAAATTAACCATATTAAGTGAATAAACTGATAAGTTTCAAACTGATCTAAGATAATAATGGGGATGTTAACTATTGCCAACACACTTCCTTCTTCTAGTGATAATCCCGGGGGGGGGGGGTGGTACCTCCTTATTAGAGGCTAATGGGGATGCGCCGCTGGATGGGGTCGCATTTTCACGGCTGGAATGATTATAATGGGGTGGCATTTTCAATAGAGTTACTAGAATGGTGGGGCACATTTTCTGATTCTTGGGGTACGACAGTTCTTCATATTTAAGCAAACTTACCAGAATGTTTGTACCATGGAAGTGTGAAAGTGTTCTTCATTCGATACAAGGTAGATACATATATAGAAGGTGACTAAAATGGGATCTCGAAAATTACATATTTGCACAAAAGTCACTAAGATGGGGTCTATAATTTGTCACCGAATAGACTATAATGGGGTAGGGGCTCTGAGAAGCAAGCGGCACATACCCAGTGACCAAGTGACCAAGTACCCCCCCCCCCGTCCCGGGTGATAATGCGGTAAATATCTCTCTTGTTCAGTTGCAGTTTTGATACCATGTCAGCTTTAGCGGACAGTTTACACCAATTTGGTCCCACCCAAGGTTTTTAAAAGAGTGTTTTCTATGATTTATAGTACAGTAGACTCCCGATAATTCGAACCTTCAAGGGAAACAGAAAAAAGTTCGAGTTATCGGGAGTTCGAGTTGTCGAGGGTAAAATTATATAGAAAATGTTCTGAAGGGAAATTAAAATTGCTTCGAGTTAGCGGGAGGTTCGAGTTATAGAGGGTTCGAATTATCGGGAGTCGACTGTACTTAAAAACAAAAGAAACTTCGTGTAATGCTGAACGGCGACGTCAATGAGAACAGTAACAAAATCAATAGATCAAATTAGCCAAAAAACAAATTTGCACGTGCAGCAAACTTTTTTGAACATTACTTTGCCGTTGTTTTGCAGGACTACAATGCCGTTTTGCACGACTTAAACGTGAAACTTTTTAGTTACACACTATTTTTTTATGGAATTGTCGTAAGTGCTCACCAAAAGTTTTGTTGTTTGTGTTCCCGTTGTCTTTTGTTTTTTTCTTTCACTGCCGCCCATTTTAAAAGTCCAGGTGGCCATGCGATTTCCCGTCAGAAACACCTCTAGTTGTCTGTGGCGTCATACCTGTTAATCGAGTTATTTTACATTGTATGCCTGTGGTGCGGACGGCGGACGGTCGTGCATACGGTCACGTAATTACCTAAATTTCTCGGATGGATGGATTACCAACTTTTCTTAGGTATTGGGCTCTACTCGCGCGCGTTTCCGCTCGGAGTCGAGCTCCACATGTTAGGTCGTGGGGGTTCCCACGTGCCGCAAAAATGCCTGCATGGTTGTGGCCTCATTGTGGCAATCATCTTCATGCCTGCACATCTAAGAACTGGACAATTTACCCTTTGATGGGTGTGACGACCCAAAATTGAGATAAGAATAGCCACCAGTGCCTTTGTAATAGATGAACGTTGATATGTGGTCTTCACGGGCAATCGTGTAAATGTCCAGGAGTTTATCGCATTAGATAGACCACATTTAAGCAAGCTTAGAATGGTAATTCGAAGCAAAAATCCAGAAACTGCTATTTGCCATGTTCGCTAAAATAGGCTGCGCCCGCTAAGTCGTCCATATATCACTTATTCAGCACGGGCCTCCTCCTGGTTTACTCTTCCAACATCCTCTCTTGGACGTAGCCTAAGAGTTTTTTTTTTTTAATTACTGATTTGTTATCTCTTTTCTGAAGTTTTTATCATTTTTGTTTCTTTGTTTTTTTGCCTTTTTTAATATTTTTATATTTGTATATGGACCACAATGAAAACTACTAGAATTCCAGTAATAAGTCCCTATTATTACCATTATTACTAGTCTGCTACCCATTGCCACCTCACCCACGGAGCTTGCAATATTCGCCCTTACACTCAAGGTGTTGAGGGTCAGCACCATTTCAGCCACGCTGACAAGAGTATTGGTATGTGGGTCTTTGACTTTCCTCTTTCCTCTTGTCTTGAAAATACCTCACCGCCACCAAACCTTCATCATAGGCCATTTGCACCAAGTGGACATGTGACATCGTTTTTATGAAAACGAAAGTTATATGATTTTGCCTTCGAAAAACGACTAGTGGGTCATATCTTAAACAAAATAATAGTGATTTGGTTCAGTTTCAAACCCGCACTATTTTGAAAATGAGTAAGTTCGTAGCCGGTCACATGACCAACGTGTGATTTTTAAAATTATGAATTACCTCTTTCCGTACACAAATTTTGCACTTAAACTTCAAGGAAAATGTTGAAGAGATGATGTGGTAACGTTTACAGTACATCTGAGCGTAATTGTCAAACGTTTAACAAGGTACAAGCAAAAAGTAGTTTCGGCCGCCATGTTGAAGGGCAAGAGTATGCCCTCCAACATGGCGGCCAATACAAATCATATTACTTTGTTGACAAATCAAAGTGCCATAAAATATCTCCCTTAAATGCGTTTCCTTTCAAATTTCGGGTGTAAGATAATTTTTATGTGCTCTGTCAATTTTTGGCATCAGCAAGATTCCAACACATTGTTTAAAGGAAGCATTGGTCACGTGACCTTCTAGTGCTAGTGGCCTATTGGATAGATTAAGTATCGCGTTTACGGCGAACGGCAAACGTGAGATTCCAGTTGAGAAAGTTTCAAAATGAGAAATAAGCAGATAAAAACAGCTTAAAACAATTGTTATGGAACCGATAGAATAAGCGTGAATCTAACAGTTTTTGTGTAGTTACAATGAACAGTAAACGGTAAGTAAATGGAAAACTTGGTCACGTGGTACAAATTCACGTTTGCCTAAAAATTTTTCATCTGTTCGGATTTCCTAGCTGAAAGTGATCTGAAAATTATAGGGATCAGAACTCACCTTTTCGAAAATTTCAGCCAGAAAAAAGGCTCCCTAAAATTCTAGGTAAGGGAAAGCTTGACGTTTGCTGCTTGCCATAAACCTGATTCTAAATCTCTCTATTACGGTCCAGAGACAGTCAGACACTAGACAGTCAGACACTGCTCTTTCGTAGCCTGAGAAAACAGCCCACATTTCGCGACGCCACCACTGGTTTCCCCACGAAATGACGTCTGAGGAACGTGCGGAGAAATTCCACGCCGATGACTTGTCACTACCCAGATCTGGCTAGTACTTCTGTTTGGTTGAAGCAATTTTCACATGCGGCACAGCCAATCACAAGTATTACCCAGATAGGGGAAGTGACACATCAACAGTTTGGAATTTCTGCCCTCATTCAATCCTTAGACGTTATTTTACGGAGAAAACCAGAGGTAGTGTCGCGAAATGTGCGCTGTTTTTTCAGGCTACGTGCCCAGGAGCCACCATCACAAGTGAAATAGAGAGTGCAGGGAGCCATGAGAAGGATGAAAAGGCGAATCGCCCAGGAAGAGTCAACATGCAAGAGAGGATAAACGGGAAAGAGAAGGCATCCCTCATACACACCCTATTCCATAGGTAATTCGTCTCGAGTTATTTTTAGAATCGGGATAAAGTTACCTCGCGCGCTGCGTGGATGTTTCGTGGAGGTTTCGCATGACTAAACGCTGTGCAAAACATGTCGGACGAAAGGCAATGAAAGCGTAAATAGATCAAGAGCATTCCTGAATATTGACGCGAAATGACTCAGCGCTCACCTGGGAAAAGGGAATCGATAGACTCTTTGAGAACCCGTGAAATCAGTTTAACTCGAAGTTGTCGTAACCTCAGTGCTTTAATAAAATGAAAAATTTCGCCGGTCGATTGAAACCGGTCGTTTGTATAAAGCAAATAGGACGCCAAGTGTTATTTTTGTTCAATAATAAAGGACTAATAAAAGAATAAATATCAAACCAGAAATTGCTCTCTTCGAACTGTAAATTATAGATGATCCTGAGAGAATATTCAGTGTGTTAAGGATTTCCCTGCTGTACTGTTAGCTCTATACAAGAGAGGAAGGGCGATTCTTTTTTAATTTCCGTTTCGCTGACACAGCTTTAGCAGAAATCTCTCTGTAGTAGTTTTCGTCGACATAACGAATAGAAATATCGCTCTCCGCGTCTTCCGCCATTTTGTTCTGCGTCAATTCGCAAAGGACGCGTGGCTCTGAACGTGGGTCATCCACGCGGAACACATTCGCGCTATGTGATTGGCTGTTGTCTTATCTTCCTTGGGATCTGTGGTCTTAAAAATAACTCGAGACGAATTACCTATGGAATAGGGTGTGTATGGGGGATGCCTTCTCTGTCCCTTTTATCCTCTCTTGTCAACATGTTATTACAGCTGAGAAGAAGCTCCGATACCTTATGAACCCTACCCTAAGGAAACGTTACTTTAAATTAAGGGTGTAAGAAAAGAGGCGAATGTAAGGAAAATAAGGAAGCCTTGAACCCGCTTGTGATGTCTGACCCTATACTAAAGTAGCAATCGGCACTAACTGCCGTAAAACGCCATTTTTTAAGTTGCCCAAAGCGAGGCTAAGTGCAAAGCTAATGACATATATCTATCCTGAAACAGTACTTAACCCTATTTTCTATTTTCCCTCTTCATTTCCTACCAACTTGGCTTCCCTAATTCTTAGTTTTTTTACTTATGTGTCCGTTCATCCTTTTTCGTTATGGAATCTAGATCTAGCCATCGAGTGAAGCGCATCCCCCCATGATACCTCTTTACTACCTTAATGCACAGGGAGGAAAATAGTTCTGTTTTCATTCACAGCCAACCAAGGACGCCAACAGTGACATTTCACAAGTGAAAAAATCATCGTTCGCGTCATCTGATAGTTAAAAATCGCTCTTTCTGACGAAACGCCAACTCGTGAATAAAATTCGTACGCGGTTACCAATCATGAAGTAATCTCATTTGCTCACTTATTAATCTTTGTACCTTGCTATAATTTAACTTGAGAAAATTCTGATTCAAGACCAAGTTCAAAGGAGTAATAAAAACAAAAACAGATTTAACTTTTGCACCGGGTGGTGTACACCAGCAGAATTTACAACCGTATTCCTACTTCACATTAATTTTTTTTTACAAATATATGTATATCTATGAAGGCAATGCCAAGTATCTTAAGGTTAATTAAAAAAATAGTAGAAGTTCTTTGGAGGTTTGTATGTCAAAACGTCTTTTCTACATTGCTGTAGGCATATTTCTGTGTTTCTTGGTGTTGCGGAAACCACTGTAGGTTCCTTTGTGTGTTGTGGTGTGGGTACAATTCTGAACAAAGCAACCAATAAATTCTTTTTGTCAGCCTTATGTACGGAAGCCGGGCAAAGATCAAGCTTGCTCATCTCACCATCCAGAGACATTGCCAAACAACAGAGGAACAAAAGGCTTAAAGACACGGTCGGCCATAACGAGCTGCTGCTGAAACGAGTTTGATTTATCTCAGATGAACACCTGTATAGGGATAAAAAAGGGAGCGTAAGCAACGACGAAGAGGACGCCAACGAAAACGGCCGATTAAAAGCAATAGATTTAGAATGGCAAAACAACAACTCTGCACGTGCATCACGCTTTTTTGTACATTTGTATGTTTCTTTGCCGCCACTGCACGACTACGACGAGAGAAACTCTAATTTCACGTTTTGTGTGGGACGTGAACACAAGACAGTTTTGGTGACTTTCTTTTTCTTTTTTTCTGAACTTCGATGAAGTCTTTCAGAATTCAACTCCAGAAAAAAATCACCAAAATTGGACGAATTGAACGAGATGGAATAAGCTCGATAAAGTTTGAAACAGTGCGAATTCACTTTTTAAAAGACGTGTTTGAAGCCGTCGCTATCGATAGTGACAACTGCAGCCTTCAAAGGCGATTAAATTCGTTCTTGTGCTGAAGAAGAAACTACAAGAGAGCCCGTATCTTTGTTCAAATGCTTTGCCACATTGGCATATGCTCATCACTCTCTCTGGTTAAGCGACTGAAATGGAAACTGTGAACATTGAAAGCTCATAGCAGAGTTTAAGCTATCGCTGAAAATTTCAGCCACGCACACAATCAACATGCACTTTTTGGGAAAATTTGCCTGAAAATCTCATAATTTGTCAGTGAATTAACGGTTTAGTGATTTTTGCTTCCTGCATTTCTGCAGTTTTGGTGGCTTACGATTCTTTAACTATAGCTCAATTTTTACACAGCTTTATAAGGTGCTTGCCCTATAATATATAGATTTAGCCAGGGCTAAAAGCGAAGCTCTGGTTAATAATACGTGTAAACTAAAAAAAATAAATCTTGTTATGCTAAACGGGGGACGACAATGAAAATGGCTTCAAGACTAATAGATCTAATTAGCAAAAAATTAAATTGCACGTGCAGCACACTTTTTCTTCTAATTAGCAAAAAACAAATTTGCACGTGCAGCACGCTTTTTTGTCTTTCCCTTGCCGTTGTTTTGCACGACTACAACGCTGTTTTGTACGACTAAAACGTCAAACTTCCTAGTTACACACTATTTTTATGGAGAAATTGTCGTATGTGCTTACCCAATATTTTGTTTCCAGTGTTCATGTTCGCTTTTATTTTTCACTGCCGCTCATTTTCACCTTGCTGGCCGCTAGCATTTCTCATTTTCTCACCGCCGCTCTGAATTTCCATGTTTTTCTTCCTACGAATTTTCAATAACTCGCTCTAGCTCTTTCTCTGTTATCCACGTTAGTGTACACATAAAAAATAACGCCGAAAAAGACACGACTTTTTTCTTTCTAAAAGTCCGGGCGGCCATGTGATTTCCTTCCAAATAAATCCTTGAGTTGCATTTGGCTTCCCATACCTGTTGATTGAGTTATTTTACATTGGTATGCCTGTGGTGCGGACGGACGGTCGCTCGCTCGCTCGGTGTACGGTCACGTGATTACCAAATTTTCTGGGATGAGTAGATTACCACATTTCCTTAGCTATGGGGCTCCGCCCACGCGCGCGCTTCGCGCGCGGGTGGAGCTCCGCTATAAGTCTTGTTGAGTCGCTAAGGTATAAAAAAACCCTTAATACACGCATGGCCGTGCGTATACATGATGACGTGTTTAGTTGTTTATTGAACTCAGATTTCTCATCTCTTCGGCCCCGTTTATATGGACCTGCGAAAAGTCGAAAAGTCGGGCAGAAGGGTTACTCGTTACAGAAGGGTAACCCAACTTGGCAGATCACCCTTCTAGCCGAGCCAACGTTTTTTTTCTGATGTTAACGGTTCGCAACGTCAACTTTTTATTGAAGAGTTGGCTTGCCCAGGGTAGTTCGGTTGGGCGGGTCAACCTTTCTCCATGTATAATAAACGGGGCCTAACTTTGAACACAGTGTCCAATAATCGGAGACAATGATGGAGAATTATCAGCAATGGCGAAAATTTATGCACTGTAAATAACCGAACAATCCGAGGCGGGAAAATTTCCCTTGCAATAAGAAGACAAACAAGCAGGAGAACTTTGCTTCTTGACTGAATTTGGTAACTTTTTCTAAACAAATTACTCATGTTGCTTTGTGGTCTCGTCGCGCATACTTTTTCCCGAACTTGGGAACGCAGGTACTTACTACAATTAAAGGGGCTATGTCATCGACGTGTTTTTCGCATCAACTGGATTCCAATTTTGTTACTTAAGACTGTAATTAGGTACGAAAAATTTTTCCCGTCGTCTTTGCTACGGATGGCAAGGATAGAGATGGATTTAAACTTGAAAAAGTTGGGGTACCTTTTTCAAGTCGTGCTTTGCCAGCAAAAATTAACAAAAAATATTATGGTCAGTGTTCGCCGTTGAAATTTGTTTGACATCTTCTTTATGACTCTAAGGGACACGACAGGAGCATTTTATGTATGGGCAAGGGAACTAATAATGATTTTAGCACAAAACGGACCTAAACAGAAACATCCTTGTAACATTATCCTCCTTTAAAACAGACTTACTTTGCACGCTTGAATTTCAAGTCTCTTCCTTCGATAACACAGACTCCCTGTCTTTCACGTCACCATTGTTTAAGGAACATTGCAATCCTGTCTCTTTGTTGTTCTTTACCATTTCGACTGAGTCCTGCGGGTCGCTCAGATGTGAATCAGTCTTCTGTGTGGCGACATTTTCTAACATCAGATATAGGAACTTGCAGTCAGTGACTAACAGTCTCAAAAAGAGACCAACAGTGCCTCTGAAGATGACGAGGTTTGGTCAGAAAATCGGCTAATTCGTCTTCGGAAAGCCGTGAACTCTTTAGCCGGTTTGTTTGGGTTCATTAATGCATAAACAGCTAGGCTGCCGCGCCGCTGCCTGGAAACGAGGTTGCGATCGTATCGATTGTATTTTGCCTGCATCTTCCAAATATGGTCAGCGCCGGCACAGTTATGAAGAATTAGCTCGGGGACTAATTATTTAAGCTTTTTAAAAGTAAAACATTTTTATTCATTCAAAATATTTGAACTTTTGTTATGGTTATGATTAATTGGTAACCGAACTTCGTGTCTTCCAATTGGCATGGGGAGGAAATCAAACTCGCGATTACTCGTATGATTAAATGCCGTATAGCACAGTTTATAAATGACGTCACAGTGACTCGTCAGGCAAAACATAAACACACTTGATGAATTCGCTAATATTAATTTCAATTTGTTTCTGTTTGTCTGAGCTTCAGTTCCATAGATAGCTACTGAGCGCAATGCCATTGGACCGACTCTACGCAGCCCTATTGCCATCATTAATCAGAACTGTTAACTTATGTACGTAAATGTTTAGGAAGCGAAACCGCATTGGGGCGAACAGCTTACTAAACACCATACTCAAAGGTCAAGAAGTCTAGCACGCTTTCCACTTTTATCAACTCTGTATATCTCTGTCTCTTCAAGGCCGGGCATCTTGAGCGGGAAGGTCCTTAGGTGTGTGGCTCAAATAGACTTCGTTTAACACTAGGATAATCAGTAAATTAAATTGAGTCACACAAAACCTGCTCTCACCTGTCTCCCTGAATGAGTGACAATACTTGGTTGCCAATTCTGATTTTCCTAGAATAGGATGCTGTAAGGCTTGAGCCAGGTACTCATACGATGCGGCGGGTCCGTCTTTTTGTTTCCACTTCAGTAACACAGCTGTAAATTGGACAGTGTGTTGAAAAGAGTTGTGTAGCGTTAATGTATACCAATAAGGAGAAAAGTAGAAGTCTTGTTCACTACACAGTTTTCTTAATGTAATGGCATTACAGCAAAAAAGGACTGCTTGAAATGATCGAGAAAAATATAACGTTTCTTGGCAAAATCTAACGGTAGGTAAAAATTCTGACTATTCGTTCACGGATGCATAGCTTACTGACTGTACGTTTAGATGTCTTTCGGATTTCTGTATGTTGAATACCTGGGTGATAAAATTTGACCCGAATAACTGGCCAACTGATTCTAGACACTAAGTGTCTACACATCGAAAATAATGCTATAGCAGCTTGCTGCTGCCTATACTGGCAATGTTAAAAAGTGGGAGATTTTTGCACAGTTCCGTGTATTCCAAAGGGTTCAATCGACTGTCTTTTTTCTTTCCTCATTTTTGTCTTCCGAAGAGTTATTCATGCTACCTTGCAAGAAAACAGTCCATATCAAAGCGAAAGTAAAAATTGCGCACAGGAGCAAAATAATTACAAAAAGTGAGAACTGAAACCTTTTTACTTCAATTTATCATCAACAGAGCCTCATATTACCCTATTAGTCTGTAATCTTACTCATGTAATAGGATCTATCAAACTATCTTACTGATATTTATTTTGTACACACCGTAGCACTTTTCAGTCAGATTGCGCTCGTCCTCCTCGATCTGTTCTAAAACAGGTTCAGAAAGGCACAGGATACGACCAAGCATCTTCCAGGAGCTACCAAGCTCTGAAGCAACGAGGAGAAGGTCACGGGACGATGGTACGCCAGACTTGAAAGACGGGGCACGATCCATGACTACTTCGTCTTCTACTGAGGTACTTGCTGCGAAGCTTCGAACAATGTGAGGATCCAAGACTGGAGAAGCTATTTGAAAGCAACCATTCTAATTCACAAAATTATCGTACATATCTTATATCACATGGGCGTCCAAAATGATGGTAGCTTAAGCCCATCAGGTCTTTTTGATCTAGAATACTTATGATTGTTCCATACAGTTGATAAAAGCTAATAAGAAATTTGTTAAGGTTTTTTACATTACTACTACAGTTGACTACAGGCCGGTAACAAGCACCCTGGGTTGTTCAAATCTCGCGCTAGCGCGAACCACAATTGATTTTCACTGAATTTGCTCATTCCATACATTAACTGTAATTTTACCTTCAGTACCTCGAACCCTCAACTAAAAACCGCCGCCCAGTTAGCTTAGTAAGAAAATCGCCGGACACTTTAGCTGTAGGTCGCAGGATCAAAACCCCGCTGGACCACGAGCCAGACGTGACTTGAACAAAGTAAGACCATGCTGGCTGTGTTTTAAGACTTTTGACTCGTATCACATGATCGTGTGTTTTGGGGGCTGAAGGTAAAGCCGCTGGCATTGCCTAATTCTCTCCCTTTCTTATTAAAAACAAGGGCTAAGAACCCATGCAATATTTAAAGGAATAGGCAGCGTAGAGCAACCTGACCGTTACATGTATCTCGAAAAACAATCAGGTCGATCGACTTCTATTCAATCGCAACTCGAAGCCGAATGAGTAAACTTCAAATGTATATATACTATACCTTTCGCTGTCCCGTTGTCCATTTTCGCTTCATCGGCCTGTGATAAAGACAAGTCATCGTATTTTAGGGTGGCTCCGTAATAAATACAAGAGCATTTAGCTGTGACAAAGTTTCCGTCATAACTTTTATAGTGCTTCTAAAACTGAAAAGTACCTTTTAAAGAATAGCACGGTAGGCAATCGGCTTCTGTTTTCAGACTTAGGAAACACTGAATTTACTTGTCCCAAAAATTGAAACTGGTGTCTCCTTCTTCCTGATAGTAATTTATTTTTGAAATTCCAAAACAATTTAACAGCCGAATTTTGAGCGACTTTTAGTTACGGACTTCTGCTCCAACGATTTTTCTGAAATTCCTCTGGCATATTTATTATATCAATTAAAGCCGATACCAGAAATTTCAGGGGAAAATATCAGCAAAATTTTTTACTAGCGGCGATTTTCTTTGAACAGTAAGGTCCTTTTAAGCGCTAATTTCTCAAGAAATATTTACCATCAATGAAATCGGAATATTTCGTATTATTGCCGAATTATATCTGTTGCTTTTTGCCAAGTTTCGCAGCCATCGCGTTAAAATCGAAAAAGTTATGACGGAAAATTTGTCACAGCTAAATGCTCTTGTATTAATTACGCAGCCACCTTAAGAAAAGGGTTTAACAGAAAAAGCATGCTGGCAGTGAATTAAATGCGGTTCTATATACAGTGAATCACATTCCTTGGAAACTTACAGGCGTCGAGATCAAACGCTGAAATTGAAACTAAATTGAGAGAGCTTGAATGTCAGAATTAGTTCCACATTTGATACAACAGAACACAGCAGATCGCATCAGGATGATCTTATTTATGTCTCCTTTCCGTCTACTTTGGAGGAACATAAGGGCGCGGGCCCACCAATGATTTTTTTTCTACAATATGAAGTTCAACATTTGTACTAGCATAGACCCACCCTTTAAATCATCCACTCTAGGAGTATCTACGGCGACTTGCAATACTTGAAACCTTTAGTTTGAGCACAGTAGACAAAATCCTACGGTGGCAAAATTAAAACTCTTCTTCTGCGAATTCAAAACAATTTTAGGGTACAGACAGGTTATACGGACCTACAGTACCTTGTTATGGTACTTGTCAATCTCGTAAAGCAAATTAGATACAATGGAGTACATTGTTGCGTTCGACGAAAGAGAACGCCATCCTAATCAAGACAAACTTGGAGTAACAAACCATGATTCGTTATGAAGTCGAGCGCTTGACTGGTTATTGTAAGAAGGAGCTGCGTGCATGCGCATTTATTTTCACCGCCGTATTTCTCGTATTTCGGTTTGGGGTAAATGCATGGCTTTTACTGAATAAGCAAAAAGGGCTAGTTTTTTACCTCAGTGAGATGAAACCATTTCTCCAATCCATGAACTTTCACTGTGTTATCACAGAAGCTCCTCAAACAAAACAGCTCCTCCCCAGGGGTTACCTGCAGAAGATGCTGACAATCGTCGTGATCACAGGATACTAAGCCATGCTTTCTACACTGCTCACTGCAAGAGGCGCATAAAACACATAGTTCATAGCGAAGGTTGCATAACCAGGATAGCTCACGAGACAAGCTTTGCAAAGTTTCTTCGATAGAGTCTCGAACCTTATTAGCCATCAATCGAGTAGCACATGTTCCTGCTGAAGAATTAGAAGAGGTTTTTTTCTTTAACAAGACCTTGATGAATCTCTTTCTGCAGAGAAGAATAAGCTCAAAAATGTCATGCACTCCGATGAGAAGCCTTGCGCCGTTTTGGAATAACTGAGGTGGTCCTTTTAACCGCTGTTTTGAACACCAGTGTATACACTTTGACAAAAGCTGAGGGAAAAACCCGTTAGGAACAAAGCCGTCAAGAAAGTGCAGGTACAACGGACATGGATCGCTTTCAGAAGGCTTCAATTCGCACAGACCTGACGGAGATGATCTTAGCTGAGAGGGAACAAAGTACTTAGTTTGCTCCTGTTCACTTTCTGCAGACCAACAAAAGAATTTTGTTACCAATCCATAGACCTCCATCATGTCCAAAATATCCTGCTTACTCAGGCCTTTCTGGATAAATTCTGCAAAAATGTGATCAATCAAAGCCATCCTTAGAATGCCGCTGTGCTCAAGCTCAAGCCAACACTCTGAAAACAGAGGATCCTGAATACAAAGAAAAAAGAAGTTTAATTTAAACAACTCACCTAAAATTTAAAAAAATTAGCCTTGCTATGTTCAGACAAGAAAGGGCAAAAGCTAACAATGTTGTCATTAATAGGAAACGACAATCCTTTTTTTAGTCGCTGAAGGTTTGCGAAGATTTCGCAAAAGATACGGCATTCTAAATAACAATACAACAAAACATTCTTGCGTATTCTTTGACTGTCTTTCACATTCGTAAATGGAATGATAAACAATAGCATCTGTAAGGTCTAAATTGATCCCATCAGTGTAAATCCCTTGGACACCTTATGAAGTTTACACAATCTATTATGCTTTATTGTTTCTACACTACACTTAGATGGAATTTCCAGGTTCCTTGACATTCCTGCTCAGGAAATGTTCCTGAAAGTCTCTTCAATTTTTACGGTAAAAAAAATCCAGAAGCGCGAGAGTAAGAATCGAACTTGCAGCTTAATCTCTGTAGTCCATCACCTATGCCAATACGCCTGAGGATTTGCTGGCAGGAGTTGGTTTGATTTGAAGCTATATTGCAACAACTCTAACCCTTAATAGAAGGTAACCGTTTGGAGTCAGTGCTTAACCCTAATCAGTATTGTTGCTTACCCTTAATCGGAATACCGAAGCGATAAGGAATAATAGGTTATACAAATTTCATAAGGTGTCGAAGGGGGTTTAGGCCGACTGGATCTAACGCTTAGGAAAACTTGGTCGAACGAACTTTCGCAAAGACGTCTGGGAATGTTACTGGGGACACTGAGGGGAAAAATGGCCAATAGCTGACTGGCGAGTCCCCAGCAACGATCCCAGAAACAACTGCGGGAGGCATTTCGGCTCCAGTTCCATTCTTGTTTCTCAAGGGGCGACTGGCAATGATACCACTGGATGGAGTTACATTATTTTCGGTGTAACAAAAACATCAAAGAATCACTTTAAAGTTTGTATTGTAATTTCGTTATCAACAGACATAACTTACAACTTCATCAAAAGGCCGCACAGTTATCAGCTGTTTGAAGAGATCAATCAACCACTGCGCCTGCAATACCACAGTCTGGCCGTGTTTAACAATCACGCCAAGGTCGTGATAGAAATTCAACATGGTTGTCAACTCATCCCCGTCATAGATGCGGCAAACCTGTCTTGTGACAGTCAGGAGCTCATTTAGATCCATGTGGTAGGTTCCCTTGGCCACTAATGCTTCTACAACTTTTTCAAAGTTGAACCACCTAAGGAATGCACCATGCAGACGTTTACACGTCATCTTCTCACACATTTTGCACCCCCTACCTCCAAGAAACATGACTAGGAAAAGAAACTGGTATTTCTAGTAAAGTGCCTAAAGACAGTTAATGAAATTAAATCAAATTTTCTAAATTTGAGAAAGCTCCTACATCGATCTCCAAGAATTTATTAAAATTAACGCATTGTTGTTGGCAGCTCAGAATAAGGAAGAATTTAATGCATGGCTTTGACTAGATTTTGTGCGGTGTAAACGGGCCTTGGAAAACAGTTTGGTATGACATTTAAAGAATTAACGCAGCATTTTACCTCAGCGGTACCTCCTCTCCCATGTACGGCTCTTGATTCAAAACTTCCATGATTTTTCGCCGCAGTTCTTGAACTCCCAAGTCTTTGTACGACTTGGTGTTATCAACAGCAAAGAATGGCCTAATCACGTGCTTCTCGTATGTTTTGCCCGAGATGTACCTCCTCTCCCATGTACGGCTCTTGATTCAAAACTTCCATGATTTTTCGCCGCAGTTCTTGAACTCCCAAGTCTTTGTTCGACTTGGTGTTATCAACAGCAAAGAATGGCCTAATCACGTGCTTCTCGTATGTTTTGCCCGAGACACTCCTCTGGATGTACTTTTCCGTGGCCCTGGGATCTTCAAACGGTTGATCAGCATTTGTACCCACAATGATTACCGGAGGACGTAGGTAAGGTACAATCGTCGCTTGGCTATCGAGGTCTTTGCCGATTTGATCCGCTTGGGGCACAATGGCGTGCACAGATACCAACCAAGACAAAAGATGATCTAGATTGGTCTCATTGTTTGGGTTGTCCAGAACAACATCATGAGTGCCTTGCCTAACACGAGGCTCTGCTTTGGCACATATGCTCTTCTGGAGGTTGTACACTAAGATGTAAATTGCTCGCCGGGAAAGAAACACAGAATGGGACGCATAGTAAAGGTGTTGACCTGCAAAATCCCAGAGCGTTAAAACCACTTCCTTCCCTTTGATGTCTTCTTCTAAATTAAGATTCTTTAGGTACCGGACAACCAATTCGATAACGTCATTTGGTACGACTGAGGTGCTGCCGATATTGAGCTCAGCTTGATAGCTATATTTTAGATCACTATCTTCAGAAGATTCCTCTTCCACCTCCTTAACCATGATGGTATCTGACGTTGACTCAGCTGCAGCAGCAACAGTAGCAGAAGCAGTAGGCAGGTTGTTATGCAGTAACTAAAATAAATGTAAAACGCGGTCATAAACGACAGTTCTATTCTCATATATTATAACGAAAAGTCCTGCAGTACGTCGTAGTAAATATGTTCCTTAAAAGTCTACTATCTAGTTTGTCACTGAATGCGAAGATGATCTTCTAAACATAGCGAACTTAATTTCTTTGGGGATGTCAAATTAAAAAATATCCGGATACGTGCGGACGGGGCCTTGGTCGCAAGCAATTGACACTTTTTTTTTTTTTTGCCGCTTAACAATCACTCTTCATTTAAGGCTACTTCCTCCAAGCTGGCAGTTAACCTCGTAATGGAGTTTAAGCGTATTTTACATTATTCGCTTAGAATTAGAACACTACCTCCTCCTGTGAAGGTGGACCCGCAGACGAAACCTTTTCTTGATCAACTATTTCGTTTAAATCTCTGGCGACTAACTTTGCCATGTACTCAGCAAAATCAGAGACATCAAGCTTCTTCCCTTCTATAGGTTCCCAGTTCTTTATTTGAGCAACGTCCAGTTCACATCTGGAAGGGTCAACTTCCACACCTATTGTGCTGTTTTCTTGAGGGTCAAACGGCAAACCAAGCAGGGATTTCTTCAGACTTGTCTTTCCCGCACGGCCTTGACCAAGGATCATGATGCGGCCGCGGTATACTTTGACTTTCCCGATCTGCAAAGCCCTTTCGTAAGCACGTTGAGCCCGAGGTCCTCGGGCAAGAATCTCTGGTGGCACTGATGAATCTGTGAAACGAAAATGCCTTTTAAAATTTTAACTTACTTTTTGTTTGTTACACAAGTAAAAACACTGGCATAAGAATGCAAAGTTGAGTGATTTGTATGTTTCCTCATGTTTTCAAACTACGGATAAGTCACTTTATACTGCACTTGAAATCATTCGGGCACTACTCGTCAAGAAACTAATGCAACAACACAGGTCCTGTATGTGACTTATTCCCTTCAAAGATGTGACGTTGCTATAGAGAGTCTATGCTCACGTTCCCAACGTCTACGCTAATTTATTTGGACAAAAAAAGCGTTTACATAAAACAAGAGTTCAGCTCCCCCAGGATTGGTTTGGAACACCAACACGGCCGCCTTTTGTTGCTTTGTAGCACCAACAAGACGCTATGGAGCATATACTTCGGCGTCGTTGTTGTAGAATTAATTGCAAATGCGGAGGAGTAGTAAGAAATAATGTATGGTGAGAGTAAGGTGTCAATTTGTGAAATTATGGGATTTGTCAGGAGATTCTAAAAAGAGCAACATCCAAGAGGCCTACTTGCCAAAAACTAGCATTTCGGGGCAAATATTAGCCCAGTTATGCTCTGATGACTCCATACAAATCCTTCTAAATTTGAGTCCCAACGTTTAATTCTCTAGTTTTTTACATCAGGGTTCAAAAACAGCATAACAGTCTCATGTACTGATCAAAGATCTGTAAGGCATGGGTAAGGAGTCAATTACGTTGAGCATGGAATTGACTAAAACTCAATGTTACGAGTTCTTATGTTTTGAGAATAATTATTCACTCACTATCAGCTAACTAAATACTATGTACCAAGGATTGCACTGTATGTACTGTGACACTCAACAAAAGACAAAAAGACTTGCAATTACATGGATACAATTTTGGACACACTACCATTGCAGGACTGGTAATCAGAGTCACTGATTGGTGAATAAGGAAGGAAGCGCGAGTCGTATCTACAGCGTGACAGAAGGGTAAAGAAACCTCGTCCTGAAGGACATGTAAAGTATCTTTGTCCATTAAATGTTCCATCTGTACATGCAGTTTGCTCATCCTCCTGTAACATTAAGAAACATTTAGAGGATATTACATGGCCGCGCGGAGATACGAAATTTCTCTTCGAGTGTTGAAAAATATTTCACAAGTGAGCGCAGCAAACAAGCGAAATATTTTTCAACACTCGAAGAGAAATTTTTGTATCTCAAAGCGGCCATGTAATGTTCTAATTATTATATAAACACCAATGAAACACCAAACCATTTCACTTTAACATTTTTAGGCACGATTTATTACGTAGCTATAGTAACGGTGATATTTTTCACATGTGAAGATATCACGTTTTCGCGTGAAAGCTCACCTGGTATTCCATTGGTGTTTATACATGTATAATAAATTAAGTTATTCTACGGCTTAATGAGTGCAATTTCAATTTGAGAGCAAAATATTACAAGAACCTCTTAAAAAACACTTTCAGTTTGCGATTTGAACACAATGTTATTTAATAAAATTTTTTGAAGAATTCAAATTTGACGCCGTCTTAGTTTTCTCCTAAAAACAAAGGAGCTGTGAAGTAGATTAAAGAACACGTGATGGCGACCCTAGAAGGAGATAAACATGTATCAAATCCTGTTTTTTCAGTTTCTGAATTTGTGCCTCATGATGTCCCAAATGAACCTACAAATTTCGTGATTAGCGGAACAGGTGTGCCCAGGAAATTTAGACATTTCATTTAAACTTTCTGCAAAAATGTAATTATGTTCAAAATGCAAATTTTTTGGAAGAAGTCCATTTAGTAATGTGTTCTTTCAGAAAACATTTTTTTTATTACAGGCATTTTGACCCAAAGATTTAGCAAAGACAATAAAAGTAATTTAATGCACATTTACAATAGTAACAGAACAAAGAAGGATCAACTTGGCATGGGCATGTACAATACAATACAATACAATACAATACAATAACTTTATTTAAAGAGGGAAGCGCAATAACCTATTACAGTTTTCTAACCTACGGCATGTACGAGTGATCTTATTCTTGAATGCGAAAACAAACAATGAATTGACTCCAAAGATCATGTTTCAGGTTATATAAAGTCCTAATTACAGAGGCTCGACACTAAGCAATGTCTCTGACTAGCATCTTCTAAAACAAAATGCATAAGACATTGATTAAACAAAAGCAGTCAACATTCTACAAGCGTTATTCGTTTTGTTTGTTTTGTGTGCGTATTCCTACTATCCCTTTGAGTTATTTATTGGCCTACATTTTTACCACTTATTCACTGAGCGTGAGGCCATTACAAGAAAATCTCAGACAGAGGTCTTGATGGCACTATTCATAAATGAATACAGTTGTACAAGAAAAAAAAACACCGAAAGTAATTTTCAACATCTGCTTGCAAGAGGTTATTTGAGGTCGTGTTCACTGAACCGAAACCACCTGACAATGCGATCAAAACTACAAGACACAGGTTGTTTACCATTTACAGAAAGTTTCCACACAATCCGCGTGGAAAGAAAGATTGTACCGGTACATGCCATGGACACCTACACCAGACGATGATATTGTAAGCTTTCCAAATTATTTTGGCCTGTGTTACCACACCATACACGTAGCCAAATG